CTTGTCAACCTTGGGCTTGTCAGTCTCAGCAGCCAGCAGCTGTCTGAGTGAAGAAAAGCCTCCAGCTTCAGTGGGCTGGGAGCAGGAGGCAGAGCTGAAGCCCAAGGTTTAAGGGTTTTCACCCAGCCCCTAGAACTTGGCACTTTGAACTTGGACTTTAAGCCTCCAAAATTGTAAAAGCATAAACTCCTTTTTGTTCAAGCCATCTCATTTGTGGTATATTCCTGGCACAGCAGCAGTAGATAACCAAAATGGTGTGTTTATAATTTTAAAATAATTTTTGTTAATTAGGGTGTGTTTTTGTTTGGTTTTTAATTGTGATTTGGGTGAAAGTTTATAGAGCAAATTAATTTTCCTTACAACAGTTCATACACACTTTGTTTCAGGACATTGACTGCAATCCCTATAATGTAACAGCTTTCTTCCCACTTCCTCCCTGTGTCCTTCTTTCCTATGCATTTCTGTCCTTTGAGCTGTCTCCCTGTGATCTCCCATGGTTGATTGTTCTAAGCAGTATATATTAAAAAAAAAAAAAAAAAAATTCACTGCTGTCAAGTCGGATCTGACTCATAGCGACCCCTCCTTGGATAGATTGCCCAAGCTTTTGAGGAGTGGCTGGTGGGTTAGAACTGTGTAACCTGGTGTAAAGGTACAACTTATATGCCTAGTGTTTGGGTGGAAGCCATGGGAGTGAGTTCAATTCCAGGCCTGAAGGGTGACTAGGAGCCATAATTTCAGGGGTTTCACCAGTCTCTATCAGACCAGTAAGCCTGGTCTTTTCTATGATTTGGATTTTGTTGTACATTTTTCTCCCACTCCATCCAGGATCTTCTTCCTATTTTGATCTCTTTCTGACTGTTGACAGTGGTAGCTGGGCACTATCTAGTCCTTCTGACCCCAGGGTCATGAGGTTTGCATGGTCCACTAATCCCTTGGACTAACTGTTTCCATGCATCTTTGGTTTTCGTCATTCTTCTTTGTTCCACATGAAGAGAAACCAACTGTTGCATCTTGGATGGCTGCTTGCAAGCTTTTAAGGCCTCATTCACTTAAACTGTATGTTTTTTGCACTCTTCTATTTCAAACTATGAAAAATGGGGAAATCTATGAATCGTCAGATTTACAAATCTAAGATTTCATGGAAGGAATTCAGATCTCTTCTTTGTCCTGGAAAATTGGAAGATGGGCCTGCATTCTCACATGGGGACACTTGGCTAGAGTGGCAGCTGTCCCCTTCGGCTCAGGAGCATGCACATTCAGATTACAGGCCTAGCTCCCAGACTTGCAGGCACTGAACTGCCTCTAACAGCTTGGCACTCACGTTATATAGGAAGGGCTGGGGAAAATTTTTTCCCCTAGCAATTAACCAGTCCTGGTTTTGATTAAAATCAGTAATTGTTGTTGTGTGCCACTGAGTTGATTCCAACTGATAGTGACGCTATAGGACAGAGTAGAGCTGCCTCGTAGGGTTTCCGAGGCTATAATCTTTACAGAGCCATTGGTGGATTCAAAACCCCTTGACCATGCAGTTAGCAGCCAAGTGCTTTAACTATTGTGCCACCAGGGCTCAGAAAAAATATTAGCGAACATTTACTGTTGACTGTGTGCTGGTGCCTTGAAAAGCACTGTACCATTTAATCCACACAGTAAGTCTTTTTTAAAAAGTAGGTATTGTTACTATCTTTATTTTGCAGATAAGAAAACTGAAGCCCAGCGAGGTGTGTAAACTTGCCAGAGGTCTCAGGGCGATGTGGCATAGCTGTCTGCAGGGCAGCTCTGTCCAGAAAGAACTTTCTGCACTGGTGGGAAGGGGCTGGATCCGTGTTGTCCCCTACAGTAACCACTACTCACCTGTGGCTGTTAAGCACTTGAAATGTGGGGACTGCAACTGAGGACTTGAATTTTAAATTTTATTCAATTTTAATTTAAATAGCCACTGTCTTGGACAGTGCAGCTCTGGTGTCTGAGCTCTTTGCTTGTAGAACCACCACATCTTAAGCCTTTTAATCACACAAACCAGGGGCGTTTGAGAGTCAGAATATTAAAATACAGGGATGAAGGACTGGCCACTGAAAAGCAAAGAAGAAATAAACAAAGAATAGCACAACTTAAATAGGGTGCTAAAAGTTAGGAGCTTAAGGAAAAATTGCCAGGCACTTTCTGAACCCTGCAATCAAGCAAAGCAATTATCTAGGGCATGTTAGTGATTTATGTGGGAGGACAGGAAAAGGGCAGAAGAAGGAAAAGGCTTTCTTCACAAGGTTGGGATGTTTTTTCGAGGGCAAGTGGCACTGTGCCCCTCGGAAAGAATGTTGCACACAATGCCGTGGACAAGTGTAGTGGAATAAAAGCTGTTCCCAGCCGGCTCTGACCTCATGCAAGAAGACTGTGGCTTTATTATCTGATGCCAGCTCATTAAGGGCCCTTTACAGTTACCTAATACAGAGTTCAACAACCTTGGTGGTGCAATGGCTAAGCCCTTGGCTGCTAACCAAAAGGTTGGTAGCTTGAACCCACCCACCAGCTCCATGAGAGACAGACCTGGTGACCTGCTCCTGTAGATTGTTGTTGAGTTGTTAGGTGCCATCGAGTCAGCTCTCATAGTGACCCTGTGTACAAGAGCATCAAACACTGCCTGGTCCTGTGCCAGCCTCATAGTCTTTGCTAGATTAAAGCCTAGAAAAACCTATGGGGAAGTTCCACTCTGTCACATGGGGCCACCATGAGTTGAAAACTGACTTGGCACCTACCAATGCAGTTACAAAGGATGCCGTTTTAGTCACGTGCTGTTCAGGAGGGCCTGGATGTGTCTGAAGGCAATTTGTTTAGTACTGGGTATCTGCTGAATTTTCTTGCAAAGCACTCAAAGGTCAAAGAAAATCACATGATTTGAAACTAGTGGCTTTAAATTAAGAATGACAATACCAGTGGTTGGCTACCAGAAGAGAGAAACTTAGGGAAAGCTGTGCAGATTCCTGGGAACAAAGAAAATAAGCAGATCGCTAAGGATCTTTGTGATAACCCTAGTAACTCTGACAGGTCACAGTGGAAGAAATCTATTTCCTGTTTTTTTTTTTCGTTTCACAAAATTTCCTGTTCTTCTTAACAGGACGGAATGTACAGTATTGTGCTCATAAACACAAAGGTCTAGTTTTGGATCTGCTGAGAAACAGCACCAAGACGAGGGGGGCAGGTGACAGATTGCATTGGTTCAGGAAAGTGACTGCATACTGCAGGCATTAAAAAAGTGCAGTGGAAATCTGCACTCAGCTCACAATTAAAAAAAAAGAAAAAAGATGTGCAGTGGCCTGTAGCTGCTTAGCAGGCAAGTATCAACCAAGTTTCCGAAAACCAGTTGTTAAACAAGTTATAAAACACTTTACAAGCTTTTGATTGGCAAGAGTGACAGGAGATCTGGGTAGAAGGGTGCCAAACCTACTATAAACTAAAAAGGCAGCAAAGAGTGATGTGTGTACTCAAAGCTTGTACTATTTCCTGACTCCTCTGGAAATCAGTAATGTTCTCTTATTACTGACCTCAGGTGACCCATGAGGAGGTCTTGGGAGGAGGTGGTCATGTTGAACCTGTCATTCTAGGTTTAATGAAATTAACCGACCCTTTCAAACCAAACTCATTGCAGTTGAGTTGATTTCGACTCATAGCGACCCCTCCTTGTGTTTCTCTATGGAAGTAGATCGCCGTCTTCCTTCTGAGAAGTGGCTGGTGGGTTTGAACCACCAGCCTTCTGGTTAGCAATCAAATCCCTTAGGCACTATGCCACCAGAGCTCCCTGGTAATATCCCTGTCAAAGGAGCCCTGGTGGTACAGTGGTTAAGTGCTTGGTGCTAACCAAAAAATTGGAGGTTTGTACCTATCAGCTGCTCTGTGGGAGATGAGGCAGTTTGCTTCTGCCAAGATTTCACCCTAAGAAGTCCCTGAGTCACTGGGGGTGGGACCATAGTTGTGGAGGACATCGAGCTCAACTGGCTCAACATATTGCACAAAAACATTGTCCTGCATCCTACTTTGGTGAGTAGCAATTGGGGTCTTAAGAGCTTGCCAATGACTGTCTAAGATCCAACAATTGATCTCTTGTCCAGAGCAAAGAGTGAGGAAAATCAAAGATGCATACTTAGTCCAAGGAACTAGTAGACCATGGGAACTTCAGCCTACATGACCTTGAGACCGGAAGAACTAGATGGTGTCCAACCAATTGGAAAAGGCTAAAAATGGAGATCTCTGATAGAATGGGAGAAAAATGTAGAAGAAAACTCAAAATCATAAAAAAGACCAGGCTTACTAGTCTGTTAGAAACTGGTGAAATCCCCAAGACTACAGAACCTAGTCACCCTTCAGGTCTGGAACTGAACTCACTCCCGTAGCTTAACTCCCAGCCAAACAACACACAGGCCTAAGAGGTGAACAATTACATCAGGTAGTTGCACTTCTTAGAACAGTCAGCCATGGCAGATCGGAAGAGCAGTTTCTGTGCAGCGAGAAAGCTCAGAGGAAAGGAATGCACAGGGAAGGATTCAGGAAAAGGTAACTACAGGGTGGAAGTGGGAAGAGGGCTGTTACATTGTGGGGACTGCAGTCAGTGTCACAAAGTATGTACAAACTGTTGAATGGAAAACGAATTGCTCTCTCAGCTGTCACACTAATCACAATTAAGAAGATTTCACCTTAGGAATCCCTATGGGGCAGTTCTACTCTGTCCTCCTATAGTGTTGCCATGAGTCAGAACTGACTTGATAGCAACAAGTTTGTTTTTTTGGTTAATATCCCTGTCTGTATTCTGGCAAAAAGCTTTTTAAAGTAGTGTGAAATAATGTAAGCCAGAATTTTATTGAAGTTTAGCAATGTAAAAACTTAAAGGTAGTTTTTAAAGGAGAAAAATGTATTAATACTATATTCTTTCTCTTACTAACAAAAGCAGGTTATAGGCCATCTTGTTAAATGTTCCTACAGTAAGAATCCTTTTCATTCACTATTCATTTCAGTACATCAAAGAAAACTGAGCAGGCAAAAGATGAAGCTTCCACAAGTAGTGATGACAATGAAGATGTAGTTTTAGAGAAGAGATTTAAGGATCACAGTTACCCACGATCAACGGGGGATTACCCTGCAAGGAGACCAATGTCCATTTCCACAGAGTGGCACGGCTATAAAAAGGAGAGCCACACTATTAGTGTAGGAAAAGATATTAACTCCGATGTGATGATTCATGGAGCTCACAAGAAGGACACGAGAGCCCCTTCTCCATACTGGACCATGGTGAAGCAAGACAGTGGAAGGTCATCCTCTTCCTCCTCGGCCTCCGCGACCTCAGATGTATTTTGGCTGGAAGACTGTGCCCACATTGAAAAGGGCAAGGGCCAACCTGGTTAGGCAATGGTTGGCAAATCTATTACTATGGTGAGCATTTCTCTTCAAAGCGCCCAACTTTTGAGCATCACCATGTCCAGGTTGCTAGACTTAACAGGAATATGTGTAGATATATCAGTTTTCTTGTGACTGCATTTTATAGCCTATAGATACTTTCTTCAAGTCAGAATAGCAACGTTGTTTAGACCATCAAGACCTTCCCTTCTAGAAAGAAAAAAAAAATGTGACAGAGGAACCCAGTATCAGAATGTCTGAACATAGCGGAAAACTTCACATTTTTAAGGTAAGTGTGCTATTCTGCTATTCTTCACTTAGTTCTTTTTTGCAAGATTCAAGTGCTCTACTTAAACAATATATATTTTTTAAGCTAATTGTTCACATTAGACCCTTTTTTACTCACTTTTAAGCCTTTTACTTTAAATAGGAGCCCTGGTGGTGCAATGATTAAAGCATTCAGCTGTTAACCAAAAGGGTGGTGGTTTGAACCCATGGGAGAAAGATATGGCAGTCTGCATCTGTAAAGACTGCACCTTGGAAACCCTATAGGGCAGCTCTACTCTGCCCTACAGAGTCGCTATGAGTTGGTATCAACTCACCATCAGTGGATTTATTTTGGTATCCAAAATTATAAATGTGTAACTGCTTTAATCTTAAAAAGCCATAAATTAACAATCTGGAAATATTTATCCCGAGAGTCACTTAGCCTTAATTTTAATAGTTCTTGATGGTTCTGTACTCAATCTAGTAATATTCTAGATTTAGATTCTAGTCTCCTTTATGGAATCTAAAGACAAAGACCTCAGCATGTAATATAATAGGTACTTGTTAATTAACTGATTAGGAAAAATGCCAAGAAAAGCATTTCAACAGAATGTTTTATTGACTTTAAGTTAGTTGGGAATAATTACCCACATTTATGCTTCAAGATGTCTCACTTCATTGGAAACAAAAAGATGTTAGAGACTTTTGACTTTCATGTGTTTGTGGCTCTGGGTTGAGAAAACATTTGGCTTCTCTCATGTACTAGGTACTTCAGGATTACAGTTCATCAATGAAAGGTGTATGCCCCAAATTTCCACTTGCTGCCATCGACTTCTTCCCAGAAACAAACTTCACTGCAGCCTTTAAACAAACAAAAAAGACAGAAGTTAACAGAAATAAGAAAATGTGCTATCGAGAAACTTATTCGTTCATTCTGTAACTGCATGAGGCTGTGAAGAGGACATTCAAAACCAGCAGTTCTGTAACAGCCTCTTCTCAAAATTAGCTACTGGGTATGGCTGGTGCTTAACTGTAACTATGACAAAGCAGTTGTGAACCCTGGAATATTCCATTATTTGTCACTAACTGAGCAAGGGCGGTGCTCTAGATAGGAGGGCAGCTGTTACCAAGGGGAAAACCTCAGTGACATGGTATTAAAGTAGGGCAGGCAGCCTCTGGCTGAGCTGTATTTTTCTGTTTCTGTATTACAATGGCAGGCAGTCCAGGTCAATTAAAATACACCGATTGTTGACTTAAAAGGTTTATATCCTCATATCCCTTACGCCACTATCTGAAGTTCGAAAATTCACCCTTTAGGCTAAGTGTAATATACCATGCGGTGGGAAGAACAGCAGCTCCCCGCATCCCCACTCCATTATCTCAGGCCAGTGTTTTTTGATGGATGAAACGGTGATGTGACAGGTGTACCATGACTTAAATCATGGTACATAAGATGGGGGAGGGCAGCCTTTGGAAAGAGAATGTAATGAGGAACTTAGGGGCCAAATGCAGTCAGATCAAGATTTTTATCTTAAAAAGAAAAAGACATGAGGTGGTACAGTAACAAGCTTTGGTGGTGTAGTGGTTAAGACATTTGGCTGCTAACCAGAAGGTCAGTGGTTCAGACCTACCAGCTGTTCCAAACCCACCAGCTGCTCCGCTGGAGAAGATGAGGCAATCTACTTCTATAAAGATTTACAGCCTTGGAAACCCAATGGGAGTCTATGAGTAGGAACTGACTTGAAGGCAGTGTGATTTTGGTTTGGTGATACAGTGGTTAAAGCATTCAGCTGCTGACCCAAACACTGGTGGTCTGAACCTTCTACGCACACCACAGGATAAAGATGAGACAGTTTGCTTCCATAAAGATTTACAGTCTTAGAACCCTATGGGGAAGTTCAACTCTGTCCTATAGGGTCACTATGAGTTGGAAGTGACTTGATGGCAGTGGGTTTGGGTTATCTCAAAACAGTTTTGTCTCTCTTTTAATCTCCATTGTCCCAATGCAAAGGAACTCTGGTGGCACAGTGAACAAGGCATTTGGTTGCTAACCAGAGGCCCACAGAAGAAAGATGGAGCAGTCTACTTCCATAAAGATTTACCAACTCAGAAACCCAATGTGGGTTGCTACTGAGTCAGAAATGACTTGATGGCATTGGTCCCCCCACCCCCCAGTTTTGGTCCCTATACAAAATAACCTGTTTGGTGAGATGGCAGCTCAATGGCGAGACCACTATAGTGTAAGAGGAGTTGGCATTTTTAATTTTGAAAGGACTGGGAAAAACCACTGCTTTTGGATTTATCTTGCAATTCATATACTTCATGTTTGTTCATGTACAAAGAGGTATGTTGTTGTTGTTGTTGTTGTTGTTATGTGCCGTCAAGTCGGACCCGACTCATAGCAACCCCTCCTTGGGTTTCTGAGGCAGTATCACTACAGAAGTAGATTGCCCCATCTTCTTTCTGAGGAGTGGCTGGTGGGTTTGAACCGCCAGCCTTCTGGTTAACAGTCAAGTGCCTTAGGCACTACGCTACCAGAGCTCCCACAAAGAGGTACAGGACACAGTTATTCCCCTCTAAACAACTCAATCTTGTAGGGAAGAACATAGTATGTGAAAACACATCTAACCAGAGCAGGGAAATGAGAAGACTAAAGAGACTTCTAAGATGCCAGATGGAGAAGGACTGGCAGGCTATAAACTTTTATTTCTTGGAGGTGAGGAGAAAAAATGCTCCAAACTTCACCATTAGGTTCAATCTTATGAAATTGCCAATATTTGGCTCTTTTTGACCTGTAAGAAAAGGGATTCCAAATGGTTTGACCTAGCGGTCATTTAGTTAAGTGAGGGAGACACAAACACCCAGGTTGACAAGGGGTATTTGTGGCTCTGATGGTCACAAGCCCCTTGCCTCACACCAGGTAGACAGGTACCAAACAGCATGAGAATAACATGTACAGCCCAAGGAGGCATGTGTTCCTTCTTAAATCGGATCATTCAGGTTAAGCTATTTGATATCAAATCATAGAATTTATGGAGTATAAAAGTTACAATCCCACCACGTGATGCAAGTTTTCATTTGCTTACATTTGTGACATCGGCGGTGGTCACTAAGTCAATCTGCTGAAGGACTGTGGTTGGTGGCACATATGAACCAGCAATCAGAGCTTGGAATCCGACTTCATCCAGGAAACCCTCAGAAGACTCCACGGACATTAAGTAAGCAGCTTTCAGCTTGTTCCTGTCCAATAAAGGGTATGCAGCTAAGGCATTTTTTTTTTTTTT